CCTGATAGCTGAACAGTATCCTGTTGTGTGTCTGTAAGCATCTTTTTTTTTTTTTTTAAAGATTTATTTATTTATACAAGCACTGGGTACAGTCAGAAGCGCGGGAGGGTGAGAGAATTCACCAGAGCCAGAGCAGGGAGCAGAGCAGGCAGAAGGACCGAAGTACACTGCTGAGGGGAGCAGCGGGTGGCAGGAGAGGTCTGCGCGCCATGTGGGACCCTCCTCTGGTGGCCGGGGAGCAGCTGGGGATCGAACCGGCGCCGCAGAGGCCACAGTCAGCATCGCAACCCAGCGCTCAACCACTGCGCCACCGGGGAGGCCCCTGTAAACATCTTCTTGATCCAACCCTCTATCAGTGGGCACATAAGTTGTTTCCATGCCCTAGCTATTGTAATAATGCTGCAATAAAGATTGTAGAACATATAACTTTTTGAGTTGATAGTTTTATGTTCTTTGGACATATGCCCGGGAGTGGGATTGCTATGCCATATGACATTTCTAGTTTGAGTTTTTTAAGGTAAATCGAGATCCCTTTCCAAAATGGCTGCATCGGTTACGTCCTATCAACCGTGTTGATGTAACAGGGTTCCTCTTTCTCAGCATCCTCTCCAGCACATGTTGGATGTTTTTTTATTTTTCTCCCCACATTCCACAGACATACATGGTTTGTAACTATTTTATTCTTGATTTGCTCACACAAAAATTGACAATTTCAGAATCTTCATTAACTAAATTTAGAAATTCTTTGTGTACTTAATGAATCACGAGACAGTCACGGAATTGATAGTGATGAGGAAAGTGTCAAAAAAGAAGGGGGGAAGGGGAGGGGATAAGAGAGGAGGGAGAAATTTGATATATTTTACAAGATATGATTTGAAGAAATTGCCTTATTAAAAATTCAAATATTGGGGCCTCCCTGGTGGCGCAGCGGTTGAGCGCTGGGTTGCGAAGCTGCCCGCAGCCTCTGCAGCGCCGGTTCGATCCCCGGCTGCTCCCCGGCCACCGGAGGAGGGTCCCGCATGGCGCGCAGACCTCTCCTGCCGCCCGCTGCTCCCCTCAGCAGTGTACTTCGGTCCTTCTGCCTGCTCTGCTTCCCGCTCTGGCTCTGGTGAATTCTCTCACCCTCCCGCGCTTCTGACTGTACCCAGTGCTTGTATAAATAAAGAAATAAATCTTTAAAAAAGATTAAAATATTGACAAAAATATCTGCATATATCAGAGGGAGGGAAGGAGGAGCACAGGGGACTGAGGTGATGGTGCACGGGTGCACTGGTGAAGGAAACTCTATGGGGACTACATCTGAGGGGGGGGGGAAGCAAATATTGTTTAAAAATGAACAATGATGTAAAAAATTTAAAAAATTAATTAAAAAAAAAGTATCTGCATAGGGACCGCCCTGGTGGCGCAAGGAGTTAAGTCTCAGCACTATGAAGCTATCAGCAGCCAGTGAAGCACATGTTCAATCCCCAGCCAGGGAGCTGACCCACATGGTGCAGCAGACCTCTCCTGTCTCACTCGCTGCTCCTCTCAGCAGTGTATTTCAGTAGATCCACCTGTTCTGCTTCCCACTCTGTCTCTGGTGAATCCTCTCACCCCCCACACCTCTGGCCTGCACCTCAGCTCTTGTATGCATAAATAAATAAATTTTAAAAAAAAGTATCTGCATATGTTTACTTTTTAACAAAGTATGAATTATAAATACTGCAATTTTAAAATAAAGATGGTATAATCAAATCCAGATGAATCCATTATTTAAATTAGGTATAATATTTAAATTATCATAGAATGATAGCAAATAGAAAAGAACTTAGATTTATAATTCAGCATAAGAACATTTGCTTTCAAAAGTATTACTTTGCTTGCATTTGATTTTGTTCCCCAATGTGAACTTTGTGTTTTTTCTTTAAAGAAATTAGATTTTCAGGGCCTCCCCGGTGGCGCAGCGGTTGAGCGCTGGGTTCCGAAGCTGCCCGCAGCCTCTGCAGCGCCAGTTCGATCCCCGGCTGCTCCCCGGCCACCAGAGGAGGGTCCCACATGGCGCGCAGACCTCTCCTGCCGCCCGCTGCTCCCCTCAGCAGTGTACTTTGGTCCTTCTGCCTGCTCTGCTTCCCGCTCTGGCTCTGGTGAATTCTCCCACCCTCCCGCGCTTCTGACTGTACCCAGTGCTTGTATAAATAAATAAATAAATATTAAAAAGAAAAAAAAAAAAGAGATGGCGAGCATTTAAAAAAAAAAAGAAGTTAGATTTTCAAAAGAAAAAAAAAAGAAAGTAGATTTTCAAAAAAGCATGAATAAGAAAATAATCACTCAACATTCAGGTCAGATATTACTATGTCATTTGCATTTTGAGTTATTTAAAAGTATTTTCATTATATATACCAACCCACATTTTTTTCACTTATTTCTCCCTCCCCCCATCATCCTTATATCTCCTTGTCCGGTACTCTCCCCCTCCCTATTAACCTCAGAGCCCTCACAGTGTTCATTGATGTCCACTGTTTTTTTTTTTTTAAGATTTATTTATTTATGCATACAAGAGCTGGGGTACAGGCGAGAGGTGTGTGTGCAGGGGTGGTGAGAGGATTCACCAGAGACAGAGTGGGGAGCAGAAGTACACTGCTTGATTGATTGAAGTAAACTGCTGAGGGGAACAGCAGGCGAGTCAGGAGAGGTCTGCTGCGCCATGTAGGTTGCTCCCTGGCTGGCTGGGGGAATCGAACTCTTGTGCTTCAGGGGCTGCGGATAGCTTTATAGGTTGCTTCTTAACCCTTGCACCACCAGGGAGGCCCAATGTCCACTGGTTTTCGAAAGTGTTTTACATTATCAAATTATCTGCTATATACATACCTAATACTTGTTTTTATTGTTCTGACTTGTTTTACTGTGCATAGTTATCTCAAACTCCCTCCATTTTGTTGAAAATGGCTACCTTTCATCCTGTCTTAAAACTGAGTAGTTCTCCATAGTGTAGATATACTATCTTATGATCCAATTGTCCATCAGCAGATATTTAGGCTACTTCTGTATCCCAGTTATTGTAAATAATGATACTGTGAACATTGTGGAGCAGACAGCTTGTTTTGCATTAATGTTTCATATTCTTTGGATATATGCCCAGAAGTGGGATTGCTGGGTGATATGATATTTCCATTAAATCCAGACTGCTTTCCATAATGGTTGTACCAGTTTACATTCTCACCAACAGTGTAGCAGGCTTCTTCTTTCTCCAAATCCTTTCTAACACTTGTTGGAGGTCTTTTTGAAATATGCCATTCTCACAGAGGTAAGATGGTCTCTCACTGTGGTTTTAACCTGCATCTCTCTTTTTGGAAGCAATGATAAACATTTTTTCATGTCTATTAGCCTTCTGGATATCCTCTCTGGTAACTCATCTGTTCTTACCTGCTGCCTATTTATTAAATGGTTTGGTTTTTAATTATTGAATTGTGTGAGTTTTTATTGTATCTTGGATATCAACCCCTTATTAGTTTTATATTGTGTGAATATTTTCTCCTATTCAATAGAGTGTTTTTTTAATCGTCTTGAATTTTCTTTTGCTTTTTAACTTGAAGTAGTCCCAATTGTTTATTTTTCTTTCTCTTGCCATGGAGGTTAAGTCACCAAAAACATCTTTATCATTGATGTCATGGAATATCACCATTTTTTCTATGTACTTTATACATGGGTCTTTTAGCTAAATCTTTAATCCATTTGGAGTTTATTTTTGTGTTTAGGGTTAGCAAATGATCCAAATTCATTTTTACACGTATGGATTTCCAATTTCCCCAGCACCATTTATTAAAGAGATGGTGCTGTTCCCATTGTAAGGGCATAGTTACTATTATTATAGATTGGTCACTGATATGTATATGGATTTACTTCTGGGCTTTTGATTCTGTTCCATTGTTCTGGCTTTGTCTGATTTTTATATTTGGGTAATAGCATTACTAAATTTTGTAGTGCAAGCATGCCCAGGGCCAGCAGGTTCACTGTCGATTCTGGCAGACAGATGGAGACAGCCCTTGGTGTGATTTTTACAGGCTTTTAATGTTGAATCAGGAAACCAGGTACACAGCACACCAGGCAAGGCGGCCAAGCAGGAAGCAGGGTGAATCTCTGCTCTCTCCTGTCTCTAACGTCCCCTCCGGCATTCTCCCTCTCCTCTGGTGTCCTCTGGTAGTCTTGCCTCAGATTGAGGCTGCCCTTTCACTCCTTTCCTCCCAGCACAGCTGTCCACAACCACAAACAGGCCGCACCCCCAAGGGCCTTCTGCATTAACACCATCAAGGCAGCAGGTGGTACCCATTGACCCAGCAGCGGGAGGGTGTAAAAAGCCTGATTAACTCATGTACCCCACAACGTATTAGGGAGCTGTAGGGCAGGACAGGACACAGTGCAGGTTTTCTGATCCCATGCAGACCGGGTAAAGGAGGAGTCAGAGTCCTCAGTGGTTTTTTGCAGGTCTTTAATTGGGGTTCACCAGGCATATGGCAGGCAGGGGTGCTGGGGGGCCGGGAGGCTGGCAGGCCTCCCAGCCCCCAGCAAATCCTCACTCTATCTGGGTCCTCTGGCCTTCTCTGCTTCGGGCTTCTTCTCTTTCAGCTTCTACTGGCGTCCCCGTGACACCGCCCTTAAAAGCACAGTCTTAGCGCAGGTGTACCCAGTTAAGGTGCCCGCCATCAGGCATGCATTCAGGATCACGGGGTTCCCTCATCTATCCTGATGGCGGGAGGGCAGAAAAGCCTGATACCTTTTACCTTACGCTACAGGAGCATTCCCTCTTCTTGTCAGCTTTCCCTCAGGGGCGGTTCTCCCACACCCTTCCCAAGTCCTGGTTTCCCGTGGCAGGATAAATGACAAAGGCCAGCCAGTGGCATCCGGGCCCTCTGTCTGGTCGCATCTCCGCTCGGCCGCGCGGGGGCGCGCTAGGCAGCGCCCGCCTCGCTCTATGGGCTTCCCTTTGCCCCGGAAGTGGTTCCGGCGGCAGGGGTTGAGAAGGTCGGGCCATGGTGGGGCAGAGGTTGGGAAGATGGCGTGGCGAGGCTGGGTGCAGAGAGGCTGGGGTTGTGGCCAGGCGTGTGTTCCGCCGGCGGGCGGCCGCAGCTTCGAGGAGCTGGCCCCGCCGCGGCTGCTCGGACGCAGGTAACGACCGCCGCTCCGGGCTCCTTGCCTCTCAGCACCTGGGCTCTGGCCGCGCATCCCCAGGCGCAGGGACCGTGCGGCCCCTGGTGCCCGGACGGGTCCACGCTCTCCGCTTCCCCTCCCCCTCCCGCCGCCGGGCGCCCCCTCCAGCCCGCGCTTCTCGCCCCTCCGCGGTGTCCGGGACACGGGGGCCGGCCCGGCCCGCTTGAGCCCGCGCTGCCAGCTTTCCCCGAGGCGGACGTGACGGGAAGGGGAACTGGTCTCCGGTGTGACTGCATGCCACGCGAGGAAGGTTTTGGACCCATTTTTTAAATTAAAGCAGCTACACAGCTGGTAAAGTGGCAGAGCTGAGATTTTCCCAGTCTTTACCTGATGTCCGACTGGTGATTACTTTCTTTGGCGTGTAGAGAACTTAGGGGAGCCACAGAGCATCATTTGCCTCTGGCAAAATCATGGGAGCCCACTCTTGTTTTATGGTTGAGGGGACATTGGTTGACAAAGCTGTTTAGGATTGAGAGTTATAGGATCACACCGTTCTGGTGGTGGTAGCACACCGCACCCATCACCAAAGCACCCATAGTAACGAAAGACCTTGTTGACGATTAGAGACAGTGGGATATTTGGTTTCCAGGTGATTTGGGAAGAGAACTTCTACTCCAATCTTCCTGAGTAAAAGCTTTGTGAAGAGTCTGGTTTATCAATAATCGCGGCTTTTGCATAGAATAATTTTAAATTGAGCGACAAGAACGCTCTCAGCTGCTAAAAATTTTACTGTGTTTTTGGCTCTGAAATTTGTTTCTGTGCTTTAATCCAGTTTCAAAGTTACCGATTTCTGGCTTGGTTTGATGGGTGCCTGGAGTTTACTTGATTGATGGTAGCAAGGAACATGAAGTGTTTTATGAACAGGGCTAACCTGTTGATAATAATTGGTAATAGTTGTAAATAATTGAAGCTCTAGTACTAACCACTGGGAGTGTTTGTAGACTGTATTTCCCAGCCCCCACACCAGGCCTACCAGTTTGGAATTAGGGTAGGGATAGGAGTGGAAGAACCTGTAGTTCCAACAAGTACTCCTAGAAAAGGGAGTCTAAGTGTTGTGGAAAACTTGCATACATTGTTTCTTACCTTCTTGATTCAGTGTAACATGCAGGTTCAGGGACTAATCTAAAACTCCTGGGAAGGTGGAGAATGAGATCAGGAAGAAGTAGTGATAGATTCCATTTATATTAATCGTGCGAGTTGAGAAAAAAGAATATGGCAATTATGAAATAACACGTGTGTTAAACTGTGATTATGTGATAGGGAAAGTAAAAGAAAGATTGTTTAATGAGGCGCCTCCAGGAAATGTCAGAGGCCATTTGAAAACAAATCAACAAGAAACAAGTGATGGTGAATGTTAGCATCTAGGTTTTTTCTTTTTCTGATCTACCATTTATATGCAGAATTTGAAGATGACATTTTTGTAGTTGGCAGGGAAATGTGAATTACAGGAAATGCTGGTAAACCTGAAATATGCTTACTTGCCTCTAGGGGAAAAAAGCACTTAAAGTTAATAGGAAGCACAAGTTACCTTGAATATAACTTTATTTTGTGCACTTTCATTTCCTGTGGTTCTGAAATTAGTGTGTAGAAAAGTGAATGCAGGGACATGGTTAAAAAGCAGACTTCTGTGCCCAGTCCTGTGATTGATGTTATAGGCTTGAAGTGTGACTGAGAATTTGCATTTTTACAAGGACTGTAGGTGGTGCTACTAGAGTCCCACCAGACGCTAAGGCAGCCTGCCAACCAAGAATGGTTTCTACATTTTTAAAAGGTTGTAAAACAGTAGTACTCAACATTCACAAAGACTACCGATACTTGGTGTTTAGTCCTTTGCAGAAAAAAAAAAACCCTCTCTTAGGCATTTCAAAAACAACTATTTTCAAAGCTCTGGCAGCACTTCTGAAAAGTGCTGAAAGAAACCTGCAAAATTTGTCAATTATATGGAACTACCTAAGAGAAGAAAAGATTAATTGTAGCATGAGCTTGTTCTTAGGTTATGATTATAGTCCTAAGATGTATTTGGTTAAACCACTGGACAGATTTGCAAATCAGTTTTATACAGTTATTTTTCCTGCCCCTCTGTTATCTCAAGGTGGGTTTTAAGAAAATAATTGACAGTCAAGAGTTATGGAGAATTTCCCCCCCTCCTGTAAACACATCTATTTTTTAAGTGGAATGAATCTGTTGTGTGTATGCTTGGGCACATCTTGCCTCATTTGAACACCAAGCCATTTTGACTCAATTTATTCGTACAGATGTGTAATGGCATGTTAGTGCTGAATTGTACATTTATTTAAGTTGCACTGCCATCCACAGACTATTAAAAAACATTCACAAGACTCTAAAGCCAACAAAACATACGACTTTATTTAAAAATTATGGGATTATATTAAACAACTGAATCATTAACAATTGTGTGACTAGTGGTGACTCAGGTATTCATGAGAACTTCTGTGTGTACTCTGAGCACATCAGATTGCCTCCACAAATCACTAGATATTGGTAGAAGGACCAAAGAAGCAGAGCCAAAAGGACTTCACAAGTTGCTGTAGGTGTGTCTCTAGTAATCCTGTTCTCCCATCTCACCTATTCATTTTATTTTATTTTTTTTAATATTTATTTATTTATGCAAGCACTGGGTACAGTCAGAAGCGCAGAAGGGTGAGAGAATTCGCCAGAGCGGGGAGCAGAACAGGCAGACTGATGAAGTACACTGCTAAGGGGAGCAGCGGGAGTGGCAGGAGAGGTCTGCGCACCATGTGGCACCCTCGCCAGCGGCCAGGGATCGAACCGGCACTGCAGAGGCTGTGGGCAGCTTTGCAGCCCAGCGCTCAACCACTGCACCACTGGGGAGGCCCTCACCTATTCATTTTATTGTGTTGCTTTACTTTGTTTTTCTATTTGGAGTAAGTAATTTGTTTTTCCATCTTAAATACCCATTCGAATAGTAGAGTTAACCTAAAACTGTAAATATGATCATAAACATTTGCAGTTAGAGGCTTTTATCGAGTTTTTCTCGGTTGATTTTGCAGTTTAAAAAATCTTAGACAAAATCTTCCTAAGGACAGAATATATGATAGTTCTTATTACATCTTAGAAGCAACATTGAACAAAAAACTGACTGTAACCAACCTAAGCAAGTAGGGGAATATATTAGTCTATGCAGTTAAAAAGTTCAGAGATAGGGTCTCCGTGGTGGCACAGGGGTTGAGGCGCAACCTATGAAGCTGACTGCAGCCACCATAGCATGAGTTCGATCCCCAGCCTGGGAGCAGCCCACATGGTGCAGCAGACCTCTCCTATCTCACCCGCTGCTCCCCTCAGCAGTGTATTTCAGTCAGTCTGCCTGTCCTGTTCCCCACTCTGTCTCTGGAGGATCCTCTCACCGCCCACACCTCTGGCCTGTACCCCCGTTCTAATATGCATGAATAAATAAATCTTTAAAAAAAAAAGTTCAGAGGTAGGACTGACTTCTTGTGAGGCAAAATCCAGTGTTTTCAGATTGTTATGAGGCCTCCATTTTTCTCCATGGCTTGGCTCTGCTACCTAAAGTTGACTTTTTCTCTCAGCAAGCTATCCTGTGTTAGATGGCCGTTAGCAGCTCTTGTGGGTGTATCTTTAGGGTTCCACTCCAGTAGAAAAAATTTCTCTTCAGTATTACTACCAAAATCCTAAAAATTGAGTTTCAATGTACTGGAATGTTCTAACTCTGGGCACTTGTCCATCCTTCAGTCTCTTGCAATTACTAGGGAATGAAACTTGTAAAATGGCTTAAACCAGTCGAAAGTTTGGTGTACTACCCCAAACCAAGTGGCTGGGAATTCCATAATAGGAGAGTGAAAGAGGACATGGGTGCTGGTATCAGTGAAAAATGTTCATTATCAATTCTTTTTTTTATAATAAATTTTATTTTTATATTCCCCATACAATTGCAACCCCCTTATTTTGACCCCAATCCCTCCCCTCCCCACCCTCCACCCCCCATAGAGTGTCTCTGGTTCATAGTTTTTTGTTGATTTTGATTTTCACTTTCTTATAGTTATTCATTTTCCTGGTCCCTTATTTAAGTTTTCTAGATTCCTGCTATGAGTGAGACCATCCGGTATTTTTCTTTTTCTTTCTGGCTTATTTTGCTGAGCATGATCCCTTCCAGTGCCATCCATGTTGCTCCAACCACTATGGAGAGCTGTGTGGAGATTTCTTGACCTACTAAACATAGAGCTTCCATATGATCCAGCAATTCCACTGCTAGGTATTTACCCAAAGGACACAGAAACATCAATTCCAAAGAGCACCTGCACCCCTATGTTTATAGCAGCACTGTTTACAATAGCTAAGCTTTGGAAACAACCCAAATGCCCAAAAATAGATGACTGGATCAAGAAGATGTGGTACATATACACCATGGAATATTACTCAGCATTCAAAAAAGATAAACACGTGCAATTTGCAGCAACATGGATAGCGCTGGAAGGGATCATTATCAATTCTTGTGGAAACTTTTTTAGTGAAATTCTTGTTACAGATCTTAATTGTTAAATCCTAATTTTTGTTAATCCTAGCCAGATAAAATTAACCTGTAGATAACCATTCTAACTTAAGTAGAAATAATGAGTGAGAGATTGGGGAATTAGGTTATAGCTGTTTCTATTCAAGGTAGTTATTGAACTAGCAGTTTAGGCATCTAGGACTGGCTGGCAAACAGCTTTGTAAAAGGCCCCCTAGAAAATAGAGCCACACATCTGTCACATTTTTTCTTTAACTCTTTAAAAAGTGCAAAAACCATGCTTAGCCAGAAATCCACCGTGCCACCTACAGTTTGTCAATTCATAATTTAGGAGCCTGTTTGGAATGCTGAATATCTGATGTATCCCATCCCAGACCTACTGAATTATAGTCTGATTATAACAAGTTCCCCAGGTGATTTTTATATATAGTAAGTACTCAATGACATCCTG